TTTTTTTCCCAACTCCAAACAAGCAACAAATTTAGATAGACGAAATTAATGGGATTTCCTTGTTTAATGTGTTATAAGAGAAATATTAAACTTGTACAATTTAAATATTGCAATTTACCCACAATAACTTGGGAGCAAAGTTGGGCTTTACATGATTAATTTGTGACAAATTACAAATTGACACTTAATTTTTATTTTTTTTCCCAAGATTTTACAATATTAATAAAGTTAAATTACAATTAAAGGGGTCACTGTTACTCCATCAACTTGAACCTTTAGCTTTCCCCTCATCACATCCTAAGTAGTGGCTACAAGACTATCGAACCAAATCCCTAACACATAATTTATGGAAAAAGGGTGAGACTCTTTTTTTTCTTGAACCCCACCACCTCTAATGTATTGGGATTGACTAACTTTTTGCTTTTTATTTTTTGTTTCCTCCTATCACTCACTGACATGTGTTTATGGGGATTGTGGGGGTCAAAAAAAAAGAAGGTCTCCATCATTTCTGATAATTTATAACGTGGATAAAATTATAAAACTTAAGTTGTTAGTCTCACTAAATAGTACTTTACATAAATATATAAGGCATTCAAATAAATTTTTTTAATATATCATCAATTTTTTTATTACCATTTTATATTACCTCCTATAGATATTTTTAAATAAAAATAATTAATAAAAAATTAATGAAAATAAATAATATATTATCATGTAATTTAGGGTAAATTATATTGATAGTCTTTACATTTTGCTTCTCGTGTCATTTTGATTTTTATACTTTCAATTATATCAATTTTGATCCTTAATTTTAGATTTTGTATCAATTTAATCAAATTGATAATATTGTTAGTATTTTTTTATGAAAAATTATCACTAAATTGATTAAAATTAACTCCCAAGTTTATAATTTTATCCATAAAACATGTTACATGCTATTTATGTACATTTTTTTCATTAAAAAATATCAACAATTATAATCAGTTAGACTAAATTGAGATAATGTCATAAATTCATGATCAAAATCTATTCAATTGGATTTACAGGGACCAAAATAACATAAGGATCAAAATATAAGGACTACCAACACAATTTAATCTATAATTTAATAATACAATATCATAATAAAATAAAATAATAAACAAAATTAATTGAAGAAAACTCTACAATACACACCTCAGACCATATATATATTTAGTTAAGTTATTTTATTTTTTAGTTATGATTAATTTTTTTTAGTTATTATATTTTTTTTGTTAAAAAAGTTATCAAAAAAAAATTAAAAAATTAAAAAATTAAAACAACTTTCCAAAACACTAGTCAGTGTCCGAAGACCAACTAATAACTCCCGCTTGAACGTGGCAAGGAATTGAAGATGGGGTACGTGACGTGGGTCCCAAATTCCACCTACGAAACTAATACCCGTCAACTACTCGCTACCTCGATGCTCCTACATCCTCGGATTACCATTTAATATCATTTATTATTAAGCTTCTAATGTTAGCCACTAGAATTTCGACACGTGTAATTTCAATCTCCCACCCACGTAAGCTAGATATTTTTTGTCCATAGACCCGCTACAAATTTTTTTATTAAGGCCAAGTTTGGTATAATTGAAAAAAGATAAAAAATTAAAAAGTTATTATCCTATTTAAGTTACATCATTTTATTTAAGTCACATTACCTTTCTAACACATCACTTCAAACCCAACCCATATTTCATAAAAAGTCAAAAAGTACACTTATTTAGTCTTTCCAAACTAGGCCTAAAGTTTCGGACTTTTTTAGAGTCTTAAAAAATTAAATATTTTTAGTTATCACTAAAGATATATAAAAAAATAAAAAAGATAATATAATTAAAATAAATAAAAATTTAATAATTTTTTTTTTTTTTACATTTTTCAAATGATCTCAGAAACCTCCACTACTTACACATGTGTAAACATATTTACAAATTTGATATTAGGTTCCGTTTGTTTCGACGTAAAGTATTTTATATAAAAAAATATTTTTCTTGTAAATTAATTTTACAAAATTAAATATTATCAAAAAATTTATCGAAAAATTAAAAAAAAAGAAAACTATATATATATTTATCTAGTTTTAGTTTTTATAGTTACTTATTCAAAAACGTATTTTGAAGACAAAATAAAATAAAAAATAATGTGAAATATAATCCATTTTAATTATATGATAAATACTATCAATGTTTGTAAAATTTATTAATTTACATAATATTGTTTTTTATTTGTATTGAAAATTGATCTAATCATGTACCAGTAAGTTGCAAACTCGGAAGAGATTTAAACCTACTCGCTTAACATTAAATACAATTTGCTTAAGTTCCAAAAGTTCATCTTATCAATTATATATGTTATGGTTCAAATAATTGATTTCAAAAAAAATTGAATCTAAAATATGAAATTTAAGAGTTATTTTTAATAATCTAAATAAGTATACATTTGAAGTTTTACAAATAGGTATATTTTTTAACAACCCCAAACAAACTCTTATATTTCAAGACCTTTATCAAGTCCCCCATAACTCCTTTGGGTTAGTTGTTCTCCAATGGGAGATCATAAAAGTTTGTTAAAAAAACAAAAAAGCCCAGGCTTTTTTACTATAGTAGCAGCCAAACAAGGCCTTAGTACCAGACCTTTTAAGTTGTAGACTACAGTCATTAGCCAGCATAGCTCTGCGCTGCCCAAAAAACCGAGCCACCATAGGTAGGAACCACACTATTTGGTTTAACTGTAAAATATTTTTCAGACAAATTAATGTCAAGGACATGGAAGAATAGAAAAATAAAACTCACAACATTTTTTTTATAATATTTTTGTTTTCCAAGTGGAAGATAATCTAATAGAGGATAGAATTGATTAATTTCATATATAAGAGACACTAAGGATTTGTTTGGAAATTTAATTTTTAAATAATTTTTTGTATGAGGCAAAAAACTCAATGTGTTTAGAAATGATTTTTTTTAGTTGCATAAAAAAAATGTGATTGACTGATGGGCATAATTTGCTTTGTTTAGTAATTTTTTCTTTACTCTTTGATATTTTTTGTTAATTTTTTTGATTATTTTAATCAAAAAGTCATGTAATCAAATAATTCCTAAGTTGAGTGTGCTGTGAATTTTATATAAGCTAGCTTACTCCATAAAATCCAAAAAGAGTTAAAAAGTTAAAAAGTTGAGACTTCAATCTAGCCAAATAACCAAGTTTAATTAATTAATTTTTTTTAAAAATTAGTCTGTTTAATTGAGTAAAACTCTAATGCATAATTTTTTAAAAAAGATTAAACAAAAAATTCACTGAAACCATAATAAAAAACCAACAAAAAGACAAAAAAAAAAAAAAAAACCAAAAAAAAAAAAAAAAAAAAAAAAAAAAAAAACACACTAATCCCAAACACAGCATAATGTATTATGCTATTATAGATAAGATGAATAGAAACTTTTTACGGTTTCAATATTTTTATTTTAAAAAGTACTACTTGTAACATGACTACTTGCCTTCCCAATAAAGTGATTAGCTTTTTTGAGAATATTTTCATTTTTTATTTTTGCAAAAGTGAGCTTTATTAATTTAGCTTAAGTTTGGCAAGTTAAAAAAAAATTAAAAATTAAAAAGTTATTCAAAAAATTAAAAAGTTATTACTATTCACCAAAAGTCAAAAATTACGGTTGCACAACTCTCAATCTTAATTTTTCTCTACACATTAATTTATACAATTTTTTAATATACTTTTTCATAAAAAGTAAAAAAGTTAACCCAAATATTCATATTTTTTTCCTCAATTTTTTAATCTAAAAAGACAAAAAATACACTTATTTAGAACATCCCAAACAACCCCTAAATTAACTCAAGGTACTAGCACTTGGTAAAAGTTTGGGAATTAAAGGCCAAAGTCTCAAGTTCGAAATGTCTTGAACTAATTTCTTGAATGTAACGTAGTTAATTAGAAGGTCAAATATCAAGTTATTATTACCACAATGCTTGGCATGGGTTTAATATTTTTCCGTTGTACTAGACTTGACTTCAGGAAAATTTGTCTTGAGAGGTCAGGACAAATTTTTAAATTATAGTCTTTTGCTCGAAACAGATAACAAGACACTTTGATGATCTTTGCAAGAAATATTACCTTAGACCTGTACGAGAGTGAGGATTTTCTTATAATAAAAAAAATCACATTTAAGTTGACTATTTTATTATTTTTTTTTAACAAGCATTACTAATTGGGAAAATTACAAACTAGTGAAATCTTTTCCAAATAAAATTTATAACTTTAATTATTACAATTTGTAATTTTTTTTATTAATTTGAAATTACTTTTACAAATATTTATTGTATTGTTATTTCCCCTAACTAATTCTTATTTTTTTCAGAAAATTTCATAGCTGAATTTAATTTTGAAATCCGCCAAATGCTTTGACATTTGTTTTATTTAATTATTCTTTAAAAATTAAAAAATATCAAAGAATCTGAAAAGACAAAAACAAGTACAAAATAGTAGTAAAAAAACTAGTATATAATAATTACCACGCCGTTATTTTATTTGGTCCGGTCTTTCCTTATTTAACGTAACCAAATAATTAAACATTATCAACAAATAAATTAATTAAATTAAAGGATAAATTATAAATATATTTATGAAATTTATTTAAAGTATAGATTGTTTCTTGTGATTTAAAAAATTATAACTATTCTTTTTATTAAAAATTTTTATTTAACAGAATTAATTGAAAAAATAATATTTATAATTACTCTTCTATACAATAATAAAATTATCTAAATTATTAATTCAAATATATTTTTAATATCATCAAAAATTGTTAATTAAATTGTTGATTTATTAATGAAAAAGACAATTTATTATGAAATTAAAAATCTTAAAATATAAAATATAATTTTTAAAACTACAAAAATAATTTATATTTTAATTAAATCTAAGAAAGTGTATTTATCATTTGCCCTAAATTAAAATAAATACGACATGTAACACAAGAAGCTCAGGAACCTTCACAAATTTGGTAAGAGTTTTAGAGAGAGAGAAAAAAGAAAGAGAGAGAGAGAGAGGAAGAAAGTTAAATTATACAAACGCCAGATCTTCTCTCTTCATTCTTCACCTTCACCGATAATTTTCCCGAGAAAATTTTGGTAATTTTCTCGTTCTGTAATTCGATCTCTCCTCGTTCTTTGTTTTTTCCGTTTCTTCCATTTGCCACTGCTTATTGCTCAGATAAAATCAATGGAATAATAATAATAATAATACAACTTTGCCGATCCACCTCTCTTGTTAGGGTTTGTTTTTCAGTTTTTTTTTCTCTCTCTCTCTCTCTATGTGTGTGTGTGTGTGTGTTTGTTTACATATCGAGAATCTTATGTGTATATGTATATGTATATGTATATGTATATGTATGTGTTTACGTTTCAGAAGAGAAGTGCTTTTTTTTTTTATAATTTTTAATTTTTTTTACGAGCATTGATACGAAATGTGAGAAATGAGGGATTTTTGTTAACTGGCATTGTTGAAATTGAATGCTTTTTCTGTGATTTGGAGCGTCACTGTTGTTTCAATACACTCTTATTTTCTCAGCTATTTACTTTTTGTAGTAGTTGCAGAGCTGTGTGTGATGGTGATAATAATCTAGTAAATTTCACCTGAGTTTGTTGTTATTGTTATTGTTATTATTATTATTATTTTTTATCTCTTGCTGATTTTGAGCTGGGTTGTTGCGTTTTAATGATTACAAATCTCAACTGTTTTTGTTGAAATTGATATAAAGACAGACAGAGCTATTTAATACAAATGTCAGAAAATAAGTATGAAGGATCGTACAAAGAATGCGAGATTTTTTACTCTCATTACTACACAAAAGTGTATTTTTGTTGTTGTTAATACTGTTTGTTGAATTCAACAGCTTCAGATCTGTTTGCTTTTTTAAGATTTTGCAGATTATGCTTTTGGGTTTTTAGTGGTCCATTTGGTTGAAGTTAGAGTGATGAGGGAAAACAGAACTGGAAAAAAAAAAAAAAAATCACTTTTGAGCTTTCCTTGATATTTGTTGGAAATGATTTAGGAAAGATTCTAGGAAAAGAAAGGGATTTTACTATTCTACTACTTTCATGGGAATTTTTTTTCCACTTTCATGGTTTTTTAACATGGAGCAACTGTCACATCACAATGAAGAATCCAGTACTTTCATCCTTAATGGACAGCCAAAGGGGGGATGTATTCTTGTCTTCATATTTTTGTTTGAAGTTCATCTTGCTTGGAACGTTATTCAACATCATATGATTCGATTTGCATCAGAATATTTAATCACTTGTGATTTTTATTGTACAGAACAACACAGATTTTTTTATGAGTTTACTTGTAATCTTTTCATCCTCTAAAGCTAAGGGCCAACACTCCGCTTCCACCTGCCTAAAATGTCAGGTGTGTGCAACATTACCCAGTGTTAGCTTTCTTAACTATGGGTGCTGTAATTCAAACCGCTATATTTTAATCTTGCATGGTCTTAGTTATAAAAGTATGTATAATTCTTTTTTAAATTTGTCATATTTTAGGTATTGAAGGATTGCGGGCTTATGATGAAACAAGAGATAGAAGATCAGATTTTGAGAACTCTGAAGATGAGAGACGGCGATCGAAAATTGGGGCTCTAAGAAAGAAGGCTATAAATGCTTCAAATAAGTTCACTCATTCTCTTAAGAAAAGAGGAAAAAGAAAAATTGACTACAGGGTCCCTTCAATTTCAATAGAGGACATACGTGATGAAAAAGAGGAGAGTGCCGTCCAGGAGTTACGCCAAAAACTCTTTGACAGGGATTTGTTGCCCCCTAGACATGATGACTACTATACCTTGTTGAGGTCAGTTGATTCTTTTACTTGAACAAATTCACTGATTTGGTAGTTTCACTTCTTTAGTTTGTTTAGTCGAACACTTGATTGGCTTTTGGCTGACCCCCATAAATTGGATGAAATAGTTGTAGGTTCATTGGTCTCATTTATGTCATTTTTTCAATGACTATTTTTTGGTTATTTATTTATTTATTTAATTTTCAGCAACTTTCATTCAGTATTTGGGCATTATGAATTTAATGAATGTAGGTCATATCTTCATATTTCTATATCACTTTGTCTGTTAAACTGCTATGCAAGACAGTTGTCCTATTCAACTTATATAGACAAGACTTAAGTAAATATCCAGTTAATTAAAGTTTTCTAGTTAAAAAATATTAGTAGCAAAGAGTTTTAATTCCATACATTAGTTAAAGCCATGGGCTCTTGATGTTTTGAGTTTAGTCTATCACAGTGGATCACTAAATTACCCATGCCACATTACCCAAGATATCTGACAGTTACTCTTCGTTCTTGGACTGCTTCCCTACTTCGTCTCACTCGTGTGCTTTTTCCTTGTGAGTGTCACCCTTCTAGTATGGTGTATAAATGTGAGTTCAAGTATATTATATGGTGAATTGGTGAGGTATTTGGATTTTCAGCTAACTCATCCCATGTCTAATTATTTTGTTCGGGCTAATTGGTGATCTAACTCAACTTATTCATGTCTTTTATGTAGATTCTTGAAAGCTAGGGATTTTGACATTGAAAAAACAATCCAGATGTGGGAAGAAATGCTTAATTGGAGGAAGGAATATGGAACAGACACCATACTAGAGGTAATGACATTAATATACCCCACTAACTCCATAAATTTCAAAAGCAAGTCTTTTCACTTGCAAACTTAGATGTTCTTGGGCATTCAGTTGCAGATTTTACTGTCGTTCTCACTTTCTGCCAACGTCATTGGTTTATCATACTGTAAAATGCTTCAGTATATGTGTACATGTTTCTTTAACTTTCTTATAGTAAACTCAATAACAACAGAGCTGTATTAATGACAACATTTTATATGATACTTTTTCATATAGTTAAGAGTCTTTAAGACTACGTATACTTTTATTACAACGTTATGTTGCCTAACCTAAATGATACAATGAACAAATGAATACTCAGGATTTTGAATTTGAAGAGTTGGAGGAAGTCTTGCAATATTACCCTCACGGTTACCATGGAGTTGACAGGGAAGGAAGGCCTGTTTACATTGAGCTGCTTGGGAAAGCTCACCCAAGCAAGCTTATGCGCATTACCACAATTGATCGCTACTTAAAATACCATGTCCAAGAATTTGAGAGGGCTCTGCATGAGAAATTTCCCTCGTGTTCAATTGCAGCAAAGAGGCGGATTTATTCAACAACAACAATTTTAGATGTGCATGGCCTGGTATGTTGATTCTATAACAGCCTTAGTCAAAGTGATTGCAATCTGTTACTAAGTCTTCCCCATCTTCCTGTGTAATTTTCTTAGCTTCATGGAGGAATTAGAAACTTTGATATGCATTGGTTATCAACGGTGGGTATAAAGAAGATGACACTCTCTTATGTAACAAAAATTCTATCTATTCAGTGCATAGTTAAAACAAATCTTACATAATTTTAAGCATATTAAACTATTATCTAGTCCAATAATTTGAATCTCTGAGAGCATGAAGTTCTGTTAGGTTTTGTTAATGATATCTAATTGAATATTCTAGATACATTTTTTTTTTCCATTGATAAGTAAATATTCTATGTATATCTAATTGGGATAAAATGCTTATAAACATGTATGCTTTTAATTAGCTATAGAGAAAGTCTAATGCACTTAATATTTCTAATATTGAATTACAATGTTTGATTAGTTTAAATTGTCATTTATGTAAGAAAAAAAAATAAAAAGAAGAGAAGAAAACTCCCTGGCTTTGCCAATATGTATTATCATTTGTACCTTATTTGTTTGGATCTCTCTTTAACAATGAATGAGTTCTGGAGTTTAGTTGTCATGGTTACCGGCCAAAATCAGTTAAAGTGTGGCAGATTATGCAATGTGTGAGATGGAATACTCTTCATTTGGCGGCTAATTATTGCAGTCACATCTGTGTAAAATTTCATGCAGTAATAGATCTTGTTGTGATGTACAGGGCATTAAGAATTTCACAAAGACAGCTGCAAGTCTCTTGGCAGCCTTGTCAAAAATTGACAACGATTACTACCCTGAGGTATCTTATGTTTCAGTGATATTTTCTTTTTCAACTTTGTGTTTTCCTTTAATTTCTTCTTCTACATTTATTTTTCTAGTGGAGCTTAGGTTTTGTAGCTCTGGTAACTTTGTGCACGAGAGTTGTGGCCTGTCATTCTGGTGCCATTGCAATAAATTTTTTACTTACAACCTTTATTTCCCCTTCATTTATCTATAGACACTACATCGAATGTTCATTGTCAATGCTGGTCCTGGCTTCAAGAAGATGATTTGGCCTGCTGCACAGAAATTCCTTGATGCAAGCACAATCACAAAAATACAGGTAAAGAGCATTTATTTAGGCTTTTGCATCTGTTTTGCCCATCCGTGGCAATGTTAACTAACTCCACATGCATGTTCTGAATTTCAAGGTGCTGGAACCTAAATCTTTGTCCAAATTACTGGAAGCCATTGACTCAAGGTAGGTTTGTTTCTTCCTGATTCCGGATTGTGTTATTCATTGATATGACCATCTTACTCGTTGACACTTTTCTTTTTGAATTTTATTCCTTCAGTCAATTGCCTGACTTCTTGGGTGGCTCATGCACGTGTTCTGATGAAGGAGGGTGCCTTCGGACTAATAAGGGTCCATGGAATGATCATGAGATAATTAAGGTGCACATTTTTTTGGGGTAGAACTTGTTTTTGTTTCTTGCTTTACCCTCAAGGATTATATTTGTCAAGTTTGAATGTTAAATTTGATTGTGTTTCGGAGATTGACCAAGGTGGTTCTGAACATAAATTCTTTGTCCCATTTGTAGCTTGTATATAATACAGAAGCAACATTTACCAGAGTATCTACCGACCAACAGAAAATTGACTATTATATTCAGAAACTCCCATTCAAGGCAAGTTTGATTCGTGATATGTTGTTCATTTTCTTTTCCATCTCATTCCTTTCTTATATGTTTTTGCCTTTGGCTCCAACTGTTGGAGATACTTCATGAAATTGCCAACCTAATGCTAGTCCTAACTTTAACAGTAGTAATTCATCAACAGTAGAATCAGGTTCAGATGTCGATATTTTTGTTCTCCTACTAGGCAAAGTAGCTCTACATTTCCACACCTGCCACCAGTTCATGAAGAAATGAGTTTTGGATCCTCGGGTAATGCATGTCTGGTATCAAATATGTATTCCCATGGATTTCTGAATGCTAATGTGATATATTAAGGGTCACCAGGTTAAACCATAACGAAATGTGACTTGTGTACATTACTTTCCAGTACATGTGTGTGTGGGCACATGTCCATGCACATTTTTTTGACTTGAAAATTGTGATTTCTTCAGCCCAGGGCATCAGATCCGACAGTCTTCTACAGTTGCGGTGAGGATTTTAGCCAGGTTGATAGTGCTGCTGATGCTGAACGAGGACTGGGACATTGTCATGATCAATCACTTAAAGCCAATGATAGAGGGAATTCTTCTAGTAAGGCAATGAACAAATCAGAAGGTATCTCTTAACAATAATTTACAGTGCTATTATGTGTCCTTTTTTTCAAGAGGACATGCCAAGTCCACTTGTTTTCATAGCTATGATAATATACGAACATCAAAGTAAAAGTTGAAAGAGAACATTTTGTTGTGCTTTTGTATGAGTATTTTTGAAAAACAAAAACATACCATGCATTTTTTTCTGCTTTTTGTTTGACGCAAAGCGAAGTCAATAGCTTTTTCAGTTTACAACACTATCAAACATACCATGCATTTTTTTTTCTTCTGCTTTTTGCTTGATGCAAAGCGAAGTCAATAGCTTTTTCAGTTTACAACACTATCAAAAAACGTGTTGTACTACTAAACAAAAAATGCTAAATAGAATCTGCAGCTGCTCTAGCAATGTTTTTAGACTTTTGGTGGTGGTTATAGTGGTTGTGACTTGCATGCAAAAAATGCTACTAAACAAAAAATGCTAAATAGAATTTGCAGCTGCTGTAGCAATGTTATTAGACTTTTGGCGGTGTTTATAGTGGTTGTGACCTGCATGCAAAATGTTAGTCACAAGAGAAGAGAACAACATTCGAAGAAAACACTCTGTTACTAAATATAGTTTTCAGCTTCAGTGATGAATTTTTGTTTTTAATGGCGGTAATAGTGATTGTGATATAAAAAAGATGGTGGTTGTATCTTGATTTCTGTGTGGTAGTCATATGAGGTAAAGGCAATTACTAATAAGCAAATTTTTATGCTTATTTAGGAGGAATAGTTTTTGTAGATTCTAACATTTATTTATTTTATGATCCCAATCTTCGGATTCATACCTGTTGTTCATTCCTATTCTAGGTATTCCGGTGATCCATTGGTTTGACACTGTCCAGGAAGAAGTTGAAAAAAGGAGTTTCCGATGTGTGGCAGCAGCACTGATGTCTCTCATGACCAATCTTTTTGCGTTTATTCGTAGGCTACCTTTAGAATCTTTGAGAATGCAGAACAACATTCATCCATCGAATGTGATGGAGGACACAACGGAAATCTCTCCACCCGGTGCTGAAGCTGTCATTGAAGAAGATCGTGTCCTTCCATGTGTACAGCGTCTTCAAAGGCTAGAAAATTTGTTGAAAGAACTAAACAAGAAGCCTGCTGAAATTCCATTGGAGAAAGAGCAAATGCTTGTGCAATCCTTGGATCGGATCAAGTCTGTTGAGCTTGACCTTGAGAAAACGAAGAGAGTAAGTCTTGTTCTTCATGGTTGAGTTGAGATGTTAAATTTGAAACTTAGTTGTACTGACCGAGGAACATCTTTGTCACAGGTATTGCATGCCACGGCAGTGAAGCAACATGAGATTGAACAGTTATTGGAAAATTTGCAGCAGTCAAAATGCCATGTAAGTCACATATCAACAAGTTTTATATTGTATATAATGTTTGGATGCATTGATTGATTACCAGCAAAATGTAATCTTTATAATGGTAGTTTTGTGAAGTTGGGTAGACATTCCTTAGGATTATAACTTTGTTGATTCACAAATGAAACTTTCTAGCCTCTTGTTTAAAGCTTGAAAAGAACGAGATACAAAAGGAAGGGTTAACAAACATGTTCTCGAAACCTTTGTTACGGAAATGAAAAGAAGGTTGCTTTAACCATGTTTCTGGTTCTCTTCTGTTTGGATCCGGTGATTTGAAGAGAGAAGAAAATAAATCAAATTCTCTTTGCCCTAATCACTTGTTTGGATAACTAAATGTGAGAAAAATGCTGTAAAATTTATATATAAACACCTCTTAAAAGTCACTTTTGCATCTCTCCACAAGTGGAGAATCAGAGAGAAAAGAAACCAACATAATGCCAACCTTTTATAATCCCAGAATTGCCTATCTAAATATAAAAATAAATGACATTAATATAGGTTATCTTGGTAAAACAACATGAGACTCTTTCCAAACAAGATATGAGGGAAATCATTTCTTTTCTCTCTTGCTTATCCAAACAAGAGGGAAAGAAAACACAACCTTTTTCTCTTCCTTTCTTTCCCAACTTGACTAATCCTTTCTTTTCCTTTCTCCCCTGATTCCCGGACAGAAAGCGAATGTTCTTCCATAACTTCATCATTTAGTTATATCATTGCGTCAACACTGCAGTCTTTTTCGACAATCACACTGATAATGTTGAAATTTCTTGTTGCAGCAACGAAGATTATTCTGTTGAATTCTCGACACAAAGAGGTGACATTCTGGGGGGTATAACAATTAGTATTAGTTACATACATGCAAGAACTGCGGGGAAGACAACCCTTTTTTATATTTTATAATTTCGTTGTCTTCTTCTACAGATACAGTGAGTACTTGGCAGAACCCACAGTTACAGGTTCTTCATAGGTTCTTCGTCTACTCAGATTTGAGACACTAGTGTTAGAGAAGAAAAGCCTAATGAAAAGTTTTACGATGCGGCGTATTATACGTTGGTTTCCTTTCTCTGTCAAAGTAAATTTTGCACATCATTTTTTTTTTCCTGAGAAATAAGCTGGCAACAACCACAATTTTAGGCTATCAACTCAATAGCAGATTAGTTGGGCGGAGAAGCTAACAAAAATAGATTAAGATTAAAAGAAGCCATATTGTTTGTCATATGTGCCTTTTTGGTTTTTTGTGATGCTTAAATAAGTTAATTTTTTGGCATTTGGCAAGTTTTTAACTAAAAAAATCAAATAAAGAGCCCTTGGTTGAGAAACAGGGGTGGTCTGTTTTTCTTTTCTTTTATTTTTTGTATCGCCTTATTAATAACCAAAATTGAAAATCAACCAATCAAATGTTATATATTTTTCACATTGTGTGATTAAATTCACATTATCCGATGGGTTGGTGGAGCTATTTTAGATCTCTATGTGCATAAATAGTTCTGTTCATAATTTTAAAAACATCACAATTATATATGTTTATATATTATTTATAAGGAAGACATAAAGGCCATGTTTGATTGGGAGTTTGGGAAGTTTGGGAGGGTTGATTAGATTATCAATTCGTGGGACCTACCAAACCTTTGTTTGAATGCAACAAAATGTCACAGGATTAGCTTGGATAAATTTTAGGTGAGATCATGAAAATAATAAGGAGATTAAGTCTATTTTATATAAAAAATTTATTTTTTTAATTATTATTTGTTTTTTTTGGCCAAGTGCACTTATTTGTTTTAGTTTTTTTTAATATAGAAATAATTTATTTATTTATTTTATATAAAAATAATTTAACAATCTCATCACTAATCATCTTTCACATTATCATTAAAACAAAAATATTTTTATTTAATCTCACAATTAACAATTCATAAATTAACAATCTCTTCGCTAACAATCTTCTCACTAATAATTTTATCCAATTTAATCTGTTAAATAAATGTGGCCAAAGCACAGGGCCGGCCCTGGGGCATAGGCCACAAGGCCATGGCCTAGGGCTCTTCAAAATAAACTAAAAAAATGGGCCCCTTTTATTATAATTTAGTATAATATATTATGTCTGTTTTAAGTTTAAAAAAATTAAAAAATGCCCAAATTAACTTAAAATAAATTGACCTATTAAAAAATTAAAAGGCTATTCAAAAAAATTAGCATTGTTATCCATTGAAAATAGACTCAAAAAAGGGGTCTCTCCTATTATAGTTTACTCTAATATATTAAGTATATTTTAAGTCCAAAAAAAATTAAGGAAAGTCCAAATTAACTTAAAATAAATTAATTCATTAAAAAATTGAAAGGCCCATTTAAAATAATTAGCATTGTTATTCATTGAAAATGATTTTGTAAAAAAATTAGATTATGCAAGTATGATTGATTAATTTGTTTCTAAAAATACAAGACGAGGGAGGATCAAGCGATACTTATTAGTTATTGTAATGTAATGCTAAGTATTTTTTATGATTTTGACACAAATTTTTTGTCTTTTATTTTTAATTTTTTTTTTCATTCAATGAAAAAAAAATGAGAAGAGTTCCAGAAATTTATTAGTTGATTATCGGTTTTGGGCCCGAAAATCTCGGGCCCGGGCCTGCCAAAGCACAATTATCTCATTTTAAATGAGTTTTTTTATATATAAAAATTTTGTTTACAAATTATTTTTCATAAATATGGGTAATCATAATATTCCCCTGCGAATGTAGCCTCTCTCTATAAAGAATGAGGAGACATGGCCAACACTACAAGAGACACCAAACTAGAAAAACAACAAATATTTGTTCAAAATTAGTAATAAAAATTATTTATTATTTATATTAGTCGAGAAAATAGAAAGAGGGCAGCCCAGCTGTGATCATGTGTACATTAGCTGTCAAGTCCACTGTGGAGCTAAGCTATACTCATATTTATATATATTTTTCTCATGTGTTAGGTGGGATTTCTAAGAAAATTAACCATTAGGTTCGAATTAAGTAATGGGACAAAAATCAAACATTTGTACCACGGCAGAGTTTTCAGTGTAACAATGACTTTATTTTATAAAAATAACAGTCTTAAGAATTGTTAATAAAACATTTAGGCTCTGTTTGGTTTAGATTTCAAAATATAGTTCCATCACTGATTTGAGTGTGATATTTGATTGCAGTTTTCAAATCATAATTTTACACTCATTTCTCAAAACTCATTTCAAACTATAATCATTACTTTTCAAAATTCATAACCAAATACACAACTCAAAACTCTTTTCAAAACTCAAAAACAACATAATTTTTATTTTAAATATTTTTTATTTTAAATATCTTATTTTATTTTATAGGAATATTTTTAATATTTTAATTTTCATAAAAATATTTTAATATTTTAATTTTAATATTTTGATATTTTAATTGTAAATATTTTGATTTTCGGAATACTTTTAATATTCTTAATATTTTAATTTTCGGAATATTTTTAATATTTTAATTTTCTAAATATTTTAAATATTTTTAATGTTTATACAGGCCTAAAAATGAATTGACATAAAATAATTGACATAGAAGTTATTTGAAAAAAAAATTATTCAAAAAAATTACTTAAAAACAATTAATTGAAAAAAAAATAATTTTTTTATTTGAGTATTTTAAAAATAGTTTGGTTATAACTGTTGATAAAAAATATGGATATCGTGTTATGAGTTGTGTGTTTGATTATCAATTATAAGTTGAATTAAGTTTTGAAAATTATTTTGAAAACTCATCACCAAACAAATTTTTTTATTTCACATGTCTTATCAAATTTTCAAAACTTAATTCCACGTACAATTCAAAACTCAATTCAACACTCTATTCAAAAACTATAACCAAACAAATTTTCTACACTTAAATCATAATTCAACAACTCACAAACTCAAAATACAACTCATACGCTCAAATCATATTTACAAAACTCTACCAAACGTAATCTTATAATCTTACTATGATTCTGCTCTCTAAGTTTCTTACGGATTTTTTTAGCAAAAAATGTAGGTAAGTTATCAATAAATTTAATCCCAACAAATAAGAAATTACTGTGGAGGGGGGGATCACATCCCATAAATCACCAATCTGTTTTCTACAGTGATCCTTGGCAAACTAATAACTTTTTGAGAAAAACAAACACAAGCCATAAATCTCCGATCTGCTTATCACGAATCACAATCTATAAAAAGAGTAATGATTCATCCCCCTTTTCCCCCCACCCCCTTTGACCCCCTCTCTCTCATTGGTTACCTTTTCTTCTTTTTTTTTCCTGTTCCACCAATCACCTTCTGCCACGTGACAAAGGGGGGTGAGGGGTGACCCCCAAAAGGGGTCCCAAGCATTATTCCTATAAAAATGGGAATAAAATCTAACGAAACATTGCGTATGATCCAATGAAAAGAACATAAAAGAGAAATGTAAATCCAATAATAATAATTAATAAATAAATAAATAAAAGTGATTAAAAGAGGAAAGTACTTACCCAAAAAAGTAAATCCAATAAATTTTACTTACCCAAAAAGTTATCAATAAATTTAGCTTTCTTTTTTTTTTTATTCAAATAAATTTAGCTTTCTAATGTTCACTATTAGTATCAATTCGTTGCATGACTTTCATTAAAAAGACATCTTTTGCCTCGTTTGGGAAACAACTTTTTTAACTTAAAATTCAAAAAATTATTAAAAAAATTAAAAAGTCAACAGCCTATATCAAAAAGTTAAAGATTCCCTTTTCACTTTATTTTTTGCATATTTTTTCGTAAAAACTAAAAAGTCATCCCAAACATACTAGTTTTTTTTTTATATCATATTTTAGCTAAAAAGTCAAAAAGTTACTAAAAAAATCTGTTTCCAAACGAGGCCTTTGTACCTACAAAAATAAGTAAGAGAAGGGCAACGAAGATTCTGAAGAAGTGTTTGTCCTCAATCAAAGGTACTAACACCTAGTCCAATAAAATGCATTAAAATGGTTTGGAAAAGAGTATAAACTGCATCCTCAACCTTCAAAGGATTAGTTTTTTACTTAACAGATTCGAGAATATTCAGCTATTGAGTAGGGGTGAGTACATTGTTCCACCATCCTTTGAGAATACCAATAAAACTAGTGGTAATAAAATGAGCAACTTGGTTATCTGTATTGCCATTTTGACGGCAGACAGAACTATACATGAGCATTTCATGAACAGTTTCAAAAATTTGATATTCAGATTTACCATCAATATTCCAAGAATAAATGCTTTTACCATGATAAGATTTTGTTCATGAAGAAAATCTTCTTCAGATAAAATATCATGCGGAGTAGGTTTAGGATAATAATAACGATTTGGAGCAAGTTTATTAGTAAAAGAGGTTCAGTTAATAGAGTCGGGAGAAGGAAAATTTTGTTGAAGTTGGAGAATATGAGGTAATTCGGCATCTTCAGTAGAGTCTAAAACATTAATAGAAGAAGATTCTCTGATATTTAAATCTTTCATTTTGGTAAGCAAGGAATTAGCAAATTCTTCATTTTTAGAAGTAGAGGATAATTTAAAATTAGAGATTGCAACAGGTGGTTTGAGGTTAACATGTTGAATAGGGGAGGATTGTATTGTTCGCGGAAAGTCACTTTTAGTAAGTATAGCATCCACAGATTCTTCAATATGAGTTAATTGAGATCCAATAGTTTGAAAATGGAGGTTAGAATAATTATTTTGTCTAATTACAACATTAAGGTCACTGACCTTACAGTATTGTCCTAATTTAGATTCATGGGTTATTGGACGAACATAAGCAGAAATAGATAAAGGTTTTGAATTACTAGTATTATTAGAAACTAATTCCACAGATTCGATTGGTGGATGTAAAGAATTAAAAGTTCTGCCTTCAATAGTAGTCCATGTTTTAAAGAAATTATCTAAAATATTAATTTCAGCTTCAGGTAAAGTCTCCATAATAGTAACAAATTCATAGAACCATTCTATAAAAGGAATAATTTTCTGGTACCTTGACAGATGATAATAAAATTGATTTTTGTAAAACTGCAATTGAGTTCATCATATTTTTTGAAATACCATTCCCAAAATTGTTGATATTTGGGATTCTGAAATTCCTGATTAATATGTTTATGGATTTCACTTCCTAGTGTAAAATCCATAGAAATTATATTTGAAATTTCATTTCACTGGCCGTAGGGCTTTCCCTTCACGCATGATCTGGAGCAAGCCATTCTGCAGGAGTAGAAGTATAAACTCCATGTGGGATACCATTTTCGGAAAGTCTAAGACCTCGAACAAAAGATTCATGTTGATTAGAAGATACAGAATTTCTAGA